AGAAACATAATACATAAACATATTGCACACACAAGTACGACGACGAAAGTGTAAATATTACAACACAAGATTTCAAGAACAATTCTTCGTAGGTCTTCATCTTCATCAGACAGGTAATGATCAAAAATAAATCCAGCTTCACCACTCAATTGGTAGCTTAAAATTGCTTCTTGTATCCTCCCTTCTACAGCACGGTCGATTGCAATACGGCACAGATTGTACTGATTACAACGGATTGCCATTCGATTGTTCTCAACTCAAATGCGAAACAATGCTCGCTCTAATTCTTGAGGAGTGTTGATAGGCATACCAATGGCAACTTGTCGAGGCCTTCTTATGTTGGAAGAACGTAAATCTAAGCTTAGATTTTCTCTTTTTGTCAAGCGATATTGTCATTCCTCTATCATTGTGTTCGTAGCTGTTAGTGAATAGCATAATTGATGATTCATTGGGTAAAATAACTCATCCTCAAAAGCCTAATGATAACCCAGAGTTTCAAACAGGGTTCTCGGACTAAAATTCATTGTTAGAGATAAATTATGTACATTGAACATTTCACATGAGTTCATATTTATAGGCAATTTATTTATGTGAGTATGCGAATGACATTAGAACATTATGTAGTCACAGTCACAGACTACACAATAATATCTAGTGACACTTTCTGACAATGAACCATTATGTAGTCACACAGACTGATATTTAATCATGTTTAGTCACAATAACCTAGTGTGTTGTCACAACGACTGACAATGATGTAATTGTTAGTAATTGTAACTAATTTTTATTCAGCAGCACTAGTGTGTTGTCACGGGTTTTAAACGTATCACGGGTCATGAATCACTATGACNGTCAGTAATTGTAACTAATTTTTATTCAGTAGCACTAGTGTGTTGTCACGGGTTTTAAACGTATCACGGGTCATGAATCACTATGACGTAGGATGAATGAGTGTCTATTAAAATCAATTGACTACATTTTTCAGTCTGTTGTCATAGTCACTGCGTACCAGTGTGTAGTCACGCATACTACACAAATATCTTGTTACTTTTTGACCATGAACTCAAACATAATGGTGACTGCATACTATGCATTGCTGACAAATGTATTTATTTTAGACAATAAAAATCACTATAAAAAACATAATATAGGGTGGGTCATATAACATGTATTGCACATTATGTCTATTTCAAGAGCACAAGCAAGTGATACCAGTCGTAGGCATGAATCAATATGGTTATTACAAGAGCGAGATGATGATTACAAGAGTGAGAGATTTTCTGATCCAAATGAGTATTATGCTAGACTTCGTCGAGAGTGGGCTTTTCGTGCTAATGAATCACAGTCATTATGCATAGATTTGAGAGAACTTGGTATACCGGTGCCACGTAGACTTCACTTACCATGTCCCGAAAGAATAGAGTCAACCATGAAGCATCAGTTAAACGTATATGAAAAGAGAATAATAGGATGATGTTCTGCAAGTGCCGATATTATATGCTCCAAATAGCATCTGACATAGTCACAACTGCATTTGACAGGGAGTTAACAACTACTGAGCGATCTAAGGTATTGTCTAATGAACAATACCTATCAGATGAGTATATGTCTGATAAAAATTAAAAATTTTAATTACTATTCACCTTATTAAGCATATAATGTTTATACCTACGTCCTATTTACTTTAATCATCATTGTTGCTTTATGAGTTTATTCAGTGTGTTGTCATATGTCAACTTTTTCATTGTCACATCTTGTAATTGTCAATGTATGCAGTGTGTTGTCACTTTAATCAATCTATGCAGTGTGTAGTCAATCTATGCAGTGTGTTGTCAATTTAATCAATTTATGCAGTGTGTTGTCATATCCAAACTTTTTCATTGTCATTTTGCATCACTAACAAATCAGTTCCAAACTATGCCGAACCGAGCATATATATACTATCTTTCACAGTTGTGTAAATCCACCACCACCAAACAAAACGTATAGGAGCATATCACATGCAAGTTCTTCTTCACGCAATCACCAAAATAGTTCATCTTCGTGTAACAAATGTGAACACTCAACAGATAGCTCAACATCGCTGAACAAAGTTCCTTCTATCGAATCATATATCGACTCCAGTGGTGTAACGTGGTATGGATGAAAGCGTGCATTCCGCAATGAGCCCATCGACCCTTATCACCCATTCGGACAAGCTGGACATGTAATTGTTGGGCCTGTAACTGATTATCCACCTCCAGGTGCTCATATCGAACCTACACTAAAATGGCGACAATTATATAACAAACGTTGTAACCTTGAAGTATTTTATCGTTGGCATGAAATTGCAGTACTAAAGGCACATTTGGTTGATATTTACAATTCACATAATTCAAACAATCATGGCAAGGTCATTTCAAGGCTTGAACGTGAAAATGATCAAATGTAGCGTCGTCTTGATCGTTTTCATGCACTCGATTTTGCTAAAATAGAGCATTTTGATCCTGAATATGCCGAAATTGAAATATTAAAGGATCCGTTACTTGTTTCTGATGCTGAGCTTTCTAATTTCTCAGATTTTGACAATGATGTGTCTGACACTTTTATCCCATCATGTTTATGTGTACTCCATAATCATTTTTTGTTGTTTTAAATATCAACCACGTTGTTGACATCTTATTTTTACATTTATACGTTCTGAATAACTTATATTTTTTCAGAACGTATACTTCTAGAGGAGAAATTTTTTGGTGTAACGCTTATAGTTTGTATGAGACCTTAAATTTAATTATATGTATATATTTTTAATTTTTAAAGTTTGATATGCTAAAAAATATAAATATTTTTAAATTATCAAAATTTATTTATTAAATGTAATTAAATTTTTAATTAAATAAAAATAAATTCATCATCTCACAAAGAGATGGAGCAAAAAATTTTAATTACATTATTGTTATGGAGAAAAATGTCAGTAGGATAAAGGAAATTTATGCATTTTTAAATTATAAAATTTATTTATTAAATGTAATTAAATTTTTAAATAAGTAACATAAACGAAATTTATGTATTTTTAAAATATAAATTTTTTTATTAATTAATTTTTTTATTAAATAAACATTTAACATTTTACTCAGAAAAAAAAAACACAAAATCTATCATTTAGGACTAAATTAAAATCCAAGATAAAATTTAAGGGCAGTTACGATAATTATCCCAACATAGATTAATTTATTCAAGCATTACATATTTGGTGTGTTTGGTCTTGTCGGTGGAGTTTGATATGCTAAAAGAATATAAGTATTTTTAAATTATCAAAATTTATTGATTGAATGTAATTAAATTTTTAATAAATAAAAATTTAATTACTCATCCTCTCAAAAAAAGAGGGAGCAAAATATTTTTAAGTATTATTGTTAGGAAAAAAAATGTCAGTAGGATAAAAGAAATTTATGTATTTTTTAAAATATCAAAATTTTTTATTAATTAATTTTTTTATTAAATAAAAAATTAACATTATTTTATGTGCAAGTGGTACAGCATAAAATAATTGAGTGGTTTGATTATTATATATGTATTATTTTATTTATTTATTGAGGCAATGATGCTTGATCTTTTGTCGGGCAGTCCTTTACAAGTTGAGTGGTTTGATTATTATATATGTATTATTTTATTTATTTATTGAGGCAATGGCGCTTGGTCTTTTGTCGGTGCAGACAGGGCTTTAATTGGGCTCATTCAAACGGCGTCAGTCTATTTGACGTCTATTATAAAAGAGGTCATTTCGATTGAGGTTTTTAAGCTACTAGACTGTGATACAATATGGGTTAAAAACGTCAAACGGACTGACGTTTTTAGGATAATGACGTCAATCCATTTGACTTCTTTAGCTTAAACACGTCAGTTCGTTTGATGTTTTTAAAAAGTGCATGTATTTGGGAATTACTTTCAAATTCACTCTTATTTGGGACCTTTTTTTAAAAGAACATGGGATGGGTCAAAAGCTCCTCATTTCCGTTAAACTCATTTCCTCACCCTCTTTCTCCGTCACACTGCCTACCCTCTCTCTTTCCGCAATCACTAACCGGATATCTATTCATCTCACAACGAAAAAATTTTATGTTATGGAAAAATCATTTCTCCCTGTCTTCCGCAGCCACAAGCTGCTGGATTTCATTGAAGGAAAATTTCCTCAACAAGAAAACACTATCTCTGAAAAAATAATGTGACCAAAATCAATCTTTCTTATGAGAATTGGGTTACAACTGATCAAACAATTCTCAGCTAGAACAATGCCACTCTCACTGAAGAGCTAATGGCAGAACTTATTGGGTTAAACACCTCTCGTGCAACATGGAAATTCCTTGTGGACACCTACCAACAACAGTCTCAAGCTTGGGCTTATTTCATCCATCACCAATTTAATGCTGTCAAAAGGGTATTTCTTCCATCTCTGCATATTTCCACAAGTTCAAAGGGATGTTTGATAATCTCACAGCCATTGGTGCACCAATCTCCGATGCGGACAAAGTGCACTATGTCCTCGTTGGTTTAGAGCCTGAACTTTGCATTTATAGCTTTAAAATTGCTCTGGTTCTTGATTTTTATCACATGAATTTAAACCATGCTTTTATATAAATAGAGCTAAACAAGGATATAAGCAAACAAGAAAAATAAGAAAAACATTAAAAATGATGTTAATATATTAATTGATTCTCATTCGTTCTTTAAGCAAGCATCCATGAGTATTTGGTCCCTAATACTTATGTGTGTGTGTCACACAGAGAGAGAGAGAGACCAATATAAACAAGATTTACCACGCTATATATTTTGCATAGAAATATACATAAAGCACCCCAAAAACAAAAGAACATAACCTTCAGCAAGCACATATATATGTCCTTGACAGATACATCTTATTCATAGGAGAAATAGCACTCTTAACACTTCCAAACATTCTTATATCACACAATAACTTGGCATAGCTCACCAATAACCCACATATATCATCTTTATGCCTATTACTTAAGATGGTAGGCTTCAATGTCTTTGGTGATAGCGAGACATAAGTTCATCAAAGTATTTGGGTCTTCCACACCCTCATTCAACTTCTCAAACTCGAAAGTCCATTTCACCAAGTTATTTTCACCCTTTGTATCAACATGAACAGTTGCAATGAAGGTATTGTACAGCTCCATGAGATCTCCTTCGATCAACTTGAATGTCACCGACTTCTTTTCTTCATCAATGGCTTGGATCATCTTTTTGGCAACGTTCTCTTTCCCATCTATATTGACACACCAGTACGATTGATTAATTACTCCTAAGAAAAAATTAAAAATGATGTCATTCAAACCTAATTTATTAATCTAATCTTTTGACTCAATTCATTATTATTGTTGGATTAATAGTGGATCCCATTTAATATTAAGACATGAGAAAATCCATGTAGAAATTTGGATTTCTACTACACAATTCGAATCATGAACAATATGAATCATGAAGGGAGATTTATAGGATTATTAATGTGCTTGTTAGCCTTGTTATGCCACACGAATAAAAACTAAGGTGCTAAGAACAAGAACAGTATGATTTTGTAAAACAAACATGGATAATCGCATCCTATCAAGAGCCCTTTTAACTTTTGGTAGCAAAACATGATTATCTGCAAATCATGTGCATTACATAAATCATGTTTATTTGGGATAGTTAATTTTAGACCTCAAAGAAATAACCCTCAAAGTCTTTCCATTTGAACTACATGAATTAGATAGATGAATTTTTTGATCTCTAACTACAAGAGATAGATCAGGTGGCTGCACCAAAACCTGTCACATGTACCGATGGATCTAAATTTTCGGAATGGTCTAGTCTGATTAGAGGGTAAGGCTATGGTAAAAGGTCTAATCTGATTAAAGGGTAAGAAATGAGTAAACCATTAGTAACAACTGTTTTCACTTGTTTCAAAAAACATACATCATAATATTTACTCAAAAAATAAACTAAAATATCTCTTACCATGGGTGTAGGTCTAGAAGATGATAGAGCCCACAGTTCCTCATTCTCCTTCATGTATATCACAACCCTGAACATTCCCGGGGCTCATATTTTTTATGTGGTGTGGTCTGTACCTAAAGATCTCATGGAACACATCTCCATCAGACTTGATCTCAGTCTGAGCAACCAACTTTCCCATTTCTAAACCAAATTGTTTTCAAACAATAACTAGAAATTTAATGGAGGCAGGTGGTGGTAGCAAATGCTTGTCCCTATGGGGTTTATATAGCTAATTTGTGAGTGAGTGAGGTAGTCAGATTCTCTCTCTCTCTCTGAACTCGACTTAGAGGGAGTATTTGGCCAACTGTGTTTAAAATTACCACCTTTTTTTTGATAGATTTAAAATTACCACCATACATTTACATATCTTATAATAATTTTGATAACATATCAGAAAATCCCATAAAATAGTTTGTCGCTGAGCTCCATCATGCCCTTCATGCTTTAACCTTATCTATTTGTCTCAGATGATTAAGATGGGACACCCACCATGGCACACATTTACGTATTTTGCATGATAGTTTAGGTCTATTCACTTCATCATACAATATTAGGATATGATTACACTATCAATTTCAATACTTTCATTAATCTCAATCATAAGATTTTGAATTAGATAATCTATAATTATATATTAAAAATATTAAATTAATAAAGTATTTTAAAAAATTGCTTCTGACACGTTTTTTATCATATAAAATATCGATGTACAGTACCAAAAATTGATATTTTAATATCTTAATTAGGCTTGTAATATTATTACCCTAATCTGTCAGTAGATATGGATCAATAATGAATGCATAGGTTCTATTAAAGTGATATTATAATGTTACTTTACATGAATATCTTTCATGCAAGTCAACAGATCTGGGCCATACTACCTCACATGATTGATTCAGTTTTTGAAATTTCTTATTCTCACCAGGGGACACCCAAATTATGGAACATTAATCGTGTAGAAATGTATAACTATCCATGAAGGACTGCTTTCACTAAAATGGAACTTAACCAACAATTTAGGATTTTAAAACCTACCAGAAATGCACAATAGTTTGAGAGTGAGAGGCCACGTGGGTGTCTGCATGTGTGATTTTAATAGAGTTGTGTCATGTTATTTGGTTTGTACAATTTTGGTTTTGTGTCACATTCGAGCATGTTGATTTATATTCCTCCTGTCCAAGTCAACACATATAATCAGAGATTCACAATCCTATAACTATAATTTGTTTCTCTCTCAACCAATTATTCTATACCATGGGTACCTCACAAATTAATTATCTACTCAATTCACATCTTAAGAACACCCAATAACCCCCCCTCCCCCCCCCCCCCCCCCCCCCCCCCCCCCCCCCCCCCCCCTGCCCCCGCC